CTGCTCTCAATTTTGAGGAGTCCGGAGACCAATATGATCCTGTCCCCACACTGTGGGCAGAGACATTCCTTAAATGACACTCATTAAATCCCTCCAGGTTCCGGAATCACGCTATGCACTGGGGTGGGAGGAGCTGGGAGGAACGCACTCAATTCTTCCCCACCAAGACTACAGACACTACAGACTACTTTCTCCCTCGGGTGGTGGGGGCACAGGACGCAGGCCACACCTCTGATTGCCACCTCTGGCCTGCTGCCTCCCATCAAGTTTGACCGAGCCCTAATCCTTCATTGGGCGGACTTCCAGACTGAAGGGGCGGGGCTGGAGGCTCACAAAGCTTGGATTGTTGGTGATTAGAGGCCGATCTTCACCCCCACCCCCATGCTCAGATCAGAGTTCTGCTTAGGAACGCCACCTAGCGGTCACCCAGTGAAAGGCCGCCAGTGTCCTCCAGATTGCAAGGACAACCTCAACATGATGGGTTGAAGTTCCTGGGCACACTGGCCCAAACACAGCAAGCCAGAGGTAGAGACACTCAACTATCTCAGAAAGAAGGAAGAACGGCCCCTTCACACAGAACCTACAGCGTGCTCAGCAGCTCTGCCGGCAGGATGGTAGCATGTGTTGCTGGGGAAGGAAGTTAGTGAGTCTCCATAAAATATGCCCTACTCTGGAAACCCACCAGTCCCACAAAATGCGCCCTTGTGTGCTCCGTCGGGAGGTTACTTCTCTGATAAGAGGCTTGGTATTCTATACTGTGTCTCCATTCACTGCTTCCTCATAACAGACCGGGGTTCAGGAAGGCTGGATTCCGGAGGAAACTAAACAGGCCCTTAGTAGGTGCTCAGCCAAATTGCACCTGCTGGTCATTGTATGACAGTTGACCCCGACACATACAAGGTCAGAACTTTTCACAAAGTGACTGGCTGACTGACTGTCTGGGGCTAAGCACCTCCAAGTTTGATTAAGACATTAACATCATGGGGCTAGGGAGATGGCTCAGGGGTTAAGAGCACTGGCTGTTCTTCCAGAGGACCTGAGTTCAATTCCCACCAACCACATGGTGGCTCACAACCATCTGCAATGAGATCTGATGGCCTGCAGGCGTACATGCGGGCAGAACACTATACATTTTCATTAGTTTGTGTTAAAGGGAGGTTTTAGTATCACAAGTCCACAGTACCACAGACCTACTCCATGGGGACATTTGTGACATTTCTGTCCCTTCCCTTCCTCCTCTCACCATGCCTAAAAGTCAAACTCTGGGTGTTTGTTTTGGTATTGGGAAGGTGGCCTCGGCTATGTTAAAGACACTCTGTACTAAGCATCCCAGTGAAAGACTAGTTAATAGTTAATTTATTTAGTGTGTGTGCGTACACACATACACACTCAAACAGCACGCAGTCTGGCATGCATGTAGAAGGCCTGTGAGAGTTAGTTCTATCCTTTTACCATGTGGGTACTAGAGATAGACTCAGGTTGTTAGGTAAGTGCCTTTACTCTCTGAGTCATCTCTTCTGCCAGCCCCCAATAAACACATTTTAAGAGCAAACAGAAACTCATGCCAGGTGCTAGGCGAGGTCTTAGAGCAAGAATGATTTAGGTTTGACCTGAGGAAGAACTTCTGATTGGGGGTGTGACTCCACACCGGAAAAGGGTCGTGAGAAGCCAGGGGACACACTGAACTCTCTTTGGGCTTGGCACTCCTCAGCCCAGGCCTGATGCAGTCAGCCCAGGCGTGGAAACCGCAGGTGACTCAGGGAATCTTAAGTGGTGGTTGCTAGGTTACAAGCTTCTTTAATGTGTCTCGATGTAAAGACTAAAGGATGCTACCTGGCTGGGAGGGAGAGGAATTGGGGGAAGCAGAGAAGGAAAAGAATTAAGTCAGCCTTCCAGAATTAGCGATTGGCTATAGCCTGGAGGCAAACTGATTGCTTTTCCCCCTTCTTTTCAATGGTCAAGTCTCTTGACCCCTATGATTTGCACAGAGTAAAGTCTATGGATGTGAGCACAGAGCTGGAACAGGGCTGTCCAAGACTGGACTCTGGGGTCTCCCCAGGTGAGACTCTCAACAATCACTGGGATCCCTTTGGGCTCTAGGCGCCTTTCCTCGCTACAATTGGACAAATGATCAGAAGCCGGGTGATAGGGAAGCTCCCAGTCTTCTGGCTAATGCGTGATGTGTTCATTTGTGATTTGGACTCTTCAACCTAGTCTTCTGAATGAGTTGCCAGCTCTAAGTAAAGTACTCCCTGAGTGTCAGACCCTCCTCTGCAAAACACAGATGCTCACAGATGCCTGGCAGTCTCCCTCCAGTTGAAGATTGTGAGAACTTGGGAGTGCAAAGGCTGAGCTCCGGGAAGTCTGCCCACCAGCTGGGAGGGTGTGAGAAGTTGCTTGGCTTTGCTGCTTTGGTGAAGGCTCTGAAGGCTCATAGGCAAGCCAGGCTGAAGACAGATACCAAGAAGCCCATATGAGAAGAACGTGGCTTCCATTCATCCTCACCCTAACCTGCAGCTGTGAATCTGATTCAGTTCCAAGAGTCCGTTCCACATTCCTCTGGGCAGGCGAGGTCCCTAAGAATGTTGTGGGGTACCCACCAGAGGAGACTACATGGGCATGGCTTCAAGCTATAGCAAGTCTTTATTAGCCAGCTGGCAACTATACTGGGTGTTCAGGACCTGAGTATAGTCCTGAGCCTTTCTCAGGGTGGGCTTTTAAGTGCAAAAACCACATCCCCGGGTTGACGTATCTCATTTAGCAAGAACAGTTGGCTACAAGTGGATCTGTGGAAGCAGTGCATTTAGGGACTTTCTCAGAACTATGGACTTTGATGGGATAGGTATTTGTTCTCGGTTTTTTGTTTTTTTTTTGTTTTTTTTTTTTGTTTTGTTTTTTTTTTTGGGCAGGTGGTTCTACCTATATGCTTGGTTCCAAGACCTCAATGGTACGTCCATCATATCATCAGTTTTTATAAGGTCTGGAGGCCTTTTGCAAGAACAGGAAATGGTTGGCATTGCCTGTGAAACTTCATTAATTTAGAATACACTCTTAGAACTTGTGAGTTCTTATCAAATAGGGAAGAACAGAACACAGCCTCTTTCTGTGGATGATCTAAATGTTGATTTTGCAAACATGCGAATCTAAGCTTTAAAAATAGAATTGTTAGGTCAAGAGCTCAAGATAGTACGATAGGCCTATTTTGAGCTGCACTTTCTATTTCTCACAGAAGTTGCAGTAGCAGTATGGGTACTGGCAGAAATGTACCAGGCCCATTTTCCCTGTCAGAAAGTATGGCGAACACTAGACAAGTATTACCTCTTCTAACCTTCACAAAAACATATACCATGGAATGCTACAAAGAAATAAGGAAGAGAAAGCAAACAAACAAAAACACCTGATGTAGAGGAGTACACCTTCATCTCAGCTCTTAGGAGGCAGAGGCAGGTGGATTTGTGGGAATCTGAGGCCAGAGAGTTGCAGGACAGCCAGGCTGGCATTCAGAGACCCTGTCTCAAAAAGAAAAGAGCTGGGCTTAGTAGCGCAGGCAAGTCTGCAGTCCTGGCTTTGGAGGCCATAGCAGGAAAATTATGAGTTCCAGGCATGATGAGCCCATGTTTCAGAAAAACAGGGGGGGGGGAGAGACAGGGGAGAGAGAAAGAGACAGACAGAGAGAGAGGGAGAGAGAGACCCTTTCAATAACTTGCATGATGATACTCCAGGAGTGAGTTTGGAGATGGGGTGGGGGTGGGGGACTCTGAAAGGTTGCATACTGTATGATTTTATCATATAACATTCTTTTCCTTCCAGTGAGGATAACCTTGAACTTATGATCATCCTGTCCTTACCTCTCAAGTGCTGTGATTTGGGGCATGCGTCACTAGGTTGTATGTCGCTATGCCAGGCACCAGGTTTCACGTAAGACTGGGCATGGGATCCAGGCTTTTGTGCTTGCTAGGCAAACACTCTACCAAGTGAGCTACAGTCCCAGCTCCTTGTACAACACGGCTGAAGAGACAAGACTTCAGAAATGGGTTGTCAGGGGCTGGGGAGGGGCGAGCAAGAAGTATGGAATTGTACCAGACATCCAAAGGTGACATGGGACCCTTGTAATAATGAAAATGTGTTCTGTGTGTGAATTGTACTTTAGCTTGGTAGAATATTAGTACTGGGAAACACTGGGTAAAGGGCATTTCTCCCTTATAACCACGTGTGAATCTACAGTTTATCACAAATCCAAGCTTAGTGTCTAATATGTGCACAGTCCTGAGTTCCATCCCCAGCACCGGCGGAAAATACACACCACATTGCGTGTGCGCACACACACGGTGGAAAGTCTGTCAGGCTCCCAAGCTTCCAGGTGAAAGGAAGCCAGATAGGAGGACCCTGTGGGCTTGGAGAGACACATCACTAGGTGGTCAGGTGTGTCACTGGCATTTGTAATTACGGGGGCCACAGTTATGAAGGGTCTTGCTGCGTAGAGGTTTGAAGGGGTTTTCTATCCAGTCCTGTGGTTGGTGCTAACCAGGTTTGCCCTTCTAGAGATGTGTAAAGTTTTGTTGTTTTTGTTTTTGTTTTGTGTGTGTGTGGGGGTCCTCTCAGCCCATCTATTGGTGTGTTCGGTGCGGTTTCCCGTCCGTGACTTTACCTGCGGTTTGTGGATGTGTCCACTCAGGAAAGAAGGAAGGTTCCGTGTGAATTACATGCACACGCGTGCAGATTGTTAGATCTGCGGGTCCCCACTGCGTGTGTGTGTGTGTGTGTGTGTGTGTGTGTGTGTGTGTGTGTCACTGCCTCCTAACTCTGAGGTTTTACCCGATGAGAACACCTCCCCCCAAACAAAGCCAGCCTGTCACGAACTGGGTCTGTGTACTGTAGACAAACTGGGTAATTGGGCTCTCCGCCTCCTCACCCAAAACAAACACTCGCAAACGCCCGCCCCCACGCTGGCGGGATCCGCCTGTCATCTGGGCACCGGCTTCTGCTCCGGCTGCCTCCGACCCTTGGAGACACGGCAGGCCCTGCCCTCGCCCGCCCCGGCTGCCGGGGCTGACGCACAGGCCACAGCATCCACCGCGGGGCGCGTGGGCTCCTGCCCAGGTGTGGCGGCTGCGGGGAGGCGGTGCGGGGAACCGGCGTCCTCCGGCCCGGGCTAGTAGTCCCAGCAGCCGCTCGCCTGCTCCGGTGACAGCGGCGTGCGGGCCTGGAAGGGCAGGACACGCTGTCCCCGGCTCCGTGGCTGCATGGCTGGCGGTGAAAGCCGCGTGTGGCTGCGGGCACCGCCCGGGAGCTAGTGAGGGGCGAGCGCGGCGCCCACGCGCGGCGAGGTGGGCTCTGCGCTCCCGGGCAGCGGGCGGGGCGGGGCTCATCCTGCAAAGTTGCCCCAGGGCGGGCTACCTCCGGCGCCCTGCTGCCCTAGATTCTTCCCGCGGAGCCAGGGGTGGACGTTGCCGCCCCGCTGACACCCGAGGGACCGCAGAAGCCAGCGGGCGTCGGCGGGAGCCCGGGCAACGCGAGATGGAGGCTGCAAGAGGGGACGTGCGGGCCGGCGCCGAGTAGCCGGCGGGTCCCGGGGCTGGACCTTGCCCGGACGCTGTGAGGGCGAGCGAGCAGGGCCCTCCCCCGGGCTGCCATGGAGGTGCCCAATGTCAAGGATTTTCAGTGGAAACGCCTTGCTCCACTGCCTAGCCGCCGGGTCTACTGCTCACTGTTGGAGACCGGGGGCCAGGTGTATGCCATCGGGGGATGTAATGACAATGGCGTCCCCATGGACTGCTTCGAGGTCTACTCCCCCGAGGCCGACCAGTGGACCTCCCTGCCCTCCCTGCCCACAGCCAGGGCCGGGGTAGCGGTTACTGCCCTAGGAAAGCGGATTATGGTGATCGGGGGTGTGGGCACCAATCAACTGCCTCTGAAGGTCGTGGAAATGTACAATATCGATGAGGGCAAGTGGAAGAAGAGGAACGTGCTGCGTGAGGCTGCCATGGGCATTTCTGTTACAGCCAAAGGCAAGTGGGGTCAGGGTTGAGGGTGGGCATAGAGAAGAAAGGCAAGGGTCATGGGGAAAACGGATGGAATGCAACATGATGGGGGGGGGCAACGCCACATCACCCATCCCATTTGCACCTTACATTAAGCACTGAAAGCAGAGACCCACTGCCCTTATTCCCTTATCGGGAAGGGAAACTGAGCAGGTGAAATGTCTAGGAATTCCATCTTTTGCCAGGAGTCAGTCCGCTCCAGAGGGTTCCTCCCGGCAGGCTAGGCAGGCCACTGCAGAGGGAGAGAGCCGAGGTGTGAACTGTGGGGTTGTCTGCAAAGACTCTGCAGACCCTGGCATTCAGCCGAATGGCCACATTTCCCGTTGGTCACACACACCCCCAAACCTCCCTGTGTAGGTTCCTGAGGGCTGTCACCCCCGCCTTCTACCATCACCAGGCCTGCCAAGGAGGCTTTGGGACCGGATCCCAACACCTTTAACTCCTGACTGCAGTTTCAGTCATACTAAGTGGAGGTCAGAATGTTTCAAAGGTTGACTCCTGTGGCCTATTATCCAGCTCCACCAAGTTCTCTGATTTGCATGTGGTTTTAAAATTCTTGTTTCACTTTCTCAAATCCCTCACTCCTTTGGGGCCCAAACCAGCCTAGAGAGGGGGCTCGAACTGCGGGCTTCTTAAAACAGAGTTTTATGAGAATGAGAGTTAAGAGACCCCAAATTCATATACGTGTGTCTCCACACTGTAGGCTTGGTGGGGTGACCTTCCTCCCTTTCCCCATCCTTCCCTGCTTCTCTTGCTACCTAGCCCAGCTGGCACACGGCAGAGCAGAGACCAGCTTCTCTAACACTTGTTCTGTCCCTGGCACAGGCTTAGGCCACAGGGAGGAAGGAACTGGGTAGAAAATCCAATCCGGGACCCAAAAGTGACTTGCAAGAAGCTGGGGCCAGAAGGGCCTTGGGAAGGAAGGGGAGACAATAGGTTTTCATGACTGCCGGTTAGAAGTAGGAAAAGCCAGGCTGGTGCTGAAGGCCTGGAATCCTAGCTGCTCTGGAGGCTGAGGCGGCAGAGTGGCAAGTTCAAGACTTGCCTTGGCTGCAGAGTGAGTTCAGGAGGCTGAGGCAGATGGATTATGAGTTCAAGGGTAATTTAAGATACATAGTAAGACCCCCGTTTAAAAAAAAAAGATGGATGGTCCAGAGGCTCACGGAGACACTGAGGACAATGAGTATGGACTATATATACGCCGTCCCTAGCTCCTTCAATAAATTATGCTGAAAGTTAAAAATTAAGGCTTACCATTGGTGCTTTATCCCTTTGGACTTTTAGCATATCCAATGAGATAAGTGCTATTTGTAGTCTATTTTAGAAGAAGCACCATGAAGGCCAGAAAGGTTAATTCCCCAAGGTTAAACAGACCATACCTGTGCTCCAAACCATAAAGTCAAGTGGGTTCAACAGTTAGGCTGGTAAACATTTACATGTCAGCTGGGTTCATAGATTAACAAATTATCAAGGGCCTTCAGTGTATTGGGAGAAACAGCTGGAGCTTGTATTAGTTACTGTGGCAATAAGCCAATGGAGATACCATCACTTAGGAGGCACCAAGCCAAGTCCTCAGGGCCCCCTGCTTTGCAGCTCAGGGAACCCCAGTTGAGGCTCAAATGATGGGTCAGAACTGACCATCGGCTGAATGACTGTGGAGTAGACAGTTTTTTTCAGGAAGGGGTTTCCTAGAAGGAAAGCGGAATTTGTGCTAATCAGGTGCTTATCATCAGGCCCTTTCCAAGCCTTGGGCTTAGGGCTAGGATCCACCCCCAACCTCAGTATGGCTAGGAAGCAAAGGAAAATAGGGCTCACTTTCTGTGGTAGTAACCCCAAAGAGTCAAAGTACCATGGAAAGGAAGACTCTGAGCAAAGGCTTCTGGGAACAAGGACCACATCCAGGAACTGAAGGTTCCTGAGAGAAAACCCATTCAGCAAGGGCTGGGGAAGCAAATGTTAGGTCATGCTCTCTGATACAGTGTGCAGAGTCCCTGAAAAGCTACCCACTGCCAAGAGCAGAGGAGAAAGCAGGGATTCCCTGCTTAGAGAAGGCAGCTCTCTAAGGGCAAGGTTTCTGAAGGATCAGTTCCCCAAAGCCTCCTCTGCATTCAGACCTAGCCTTATCAGCCCATTCAGTGCAGGGGCCTCCTGGCTCCTGCAAGCTTCTGTATCTGTGAAGGAGAATGCCATTTCCCCACTGGGGTAGCAGACAGAGCCACTGGCAGCCAAGTGTGCAGAGGGTCTGACTGTAGCTCTAAAGGACTTCACCATGTCTGAAGAGTTAATGTCTGAGGATCCCTACAGGATCCTAAGGGACAGGTCATTATTGGAGGTCATCACAAAAGCCTCTTCCCTCACCTTCCTCTCTGGCTGGTGGGGGACCTAGGCTGTCCCTGTTCAGGGTTTAGCGTGTCAGGCTTTGCCAGGGACTTGGCACTAGGGAGGGCCGAGGCACACAGCCCTGCTACAGCTTTAGGAAGACCCAGATTTAGCCATAACAGGGACTTTGAATGGTGTTAGCCAATCGCCAAAACAGCTGCGGTTCCCTAGCAGAGCAGTGGTGTGGTCAGGAACTTGGAGTGGCCTGTGGAAGGCTATGGATTTTGTTGGGCCTGTCTCCGGGTGCCTTTGAGCCGACCGAACCGCGTCTGTGTGTGGCTTTTCTCTTAGATTATAGAGTATATGCTGCAGGCGGGATGGGCCTGGACCTTCGTCCACACAACTACTTGCAACACTATGACATGCTCAAGGACATGTGGGTGTCACTAGCGCCCATGCCCACTCCAAGATATGCTGCCACCTCCTTCCTCCGGGGCTCCAAGATCTATGTGCTGGGTAAGGACGAGCTCCTTGTTCATTTCCTCTCCTTGCTCCCTTGGGTGAGTTTCCTAGGAAGCAATGCCCACGGCCTGAGAATTCCCCTGGCCCTGGGGGGTAATCACACTGTTGCAGCCCTTGAGGAATCTTTCAAGCAACTGAACAACAGAAGGGAAATCCCAGCCCTATTGGTTCTCAGGGACTGCTTTATTTTTTTTTTTGTCCACCATGTGTCCTGTTCCCACTTCCAGGGGGACGACAGTCTAAATATGCAGTCAATGCCTTTGAGGTCTTTGACATAGAGTCTCGGTCCTGGACCAAGTTCCCCAACATTCCCTGTAAGCGGGCTTTCTCCAGCTTTGTGACCCTGGACAACCACCTGTACAGCCTGGGAGGCCTGCGACAGGGTCGTCTCTATCGGCAGCCCAAGTTCCTCCGGACAATGGATGTTTTCGACATGGAACAGGGTAAGCTGGGTTCCCGCCCTCTTGGCTGCTTGCCTGTCTTCTGACTGAGCCCCACTTTCTCCATCCTGGAACTCATCCTCGGGCTGCTTACATATCCGGGCAGGCCTCTCCAGTGTCTAAGCAGCCTTCCCAACTCATGGAAATGCTCTGGCCTGGTTGGCTGTTTTCACTATGGCCTTTCCTCCTCCATCTCAACCAAGTATCTGTGCAGGACCAGGTTAGGAAGGGACTCTACCTGATGGAGAATCAGAGAGATCCTGATCACTCCGTTCACCACCTTTAATCAGATTCCTCCCCAGTTGAGGATTGTGGAAAACCTAAATAGAACAGGGGCTCATGGGAGTTGTGTATGTCAGACTGTGCCAAGCACCAGAGAAGGCTGAGGTGGTAGAGTGTGTCATTTCAATCGGCAGGCGATGCTGTTTGCACCTTGAACACCAGGGAGTAGGCACACAGGGGAAGAGCCACGTGGGATTCGTTTGTATTTGTTAGGGGGCATCAGCATCTAACCCTCTGTGTCTTCCATCACGATGCGTGGCGTGCAGGGGGATGGCTGAAGATGGAACGTTCATTCTTTCTCAAGAAGCGCCGGGCTGACTTCGTGGCTGGCGGTCTGAGTGGACGGGTCATAGTGGCTGGGGGACTTGGTAAGGATGGACCATCTCAACTGTGTTCTGTGTTGTGGTTCTGGTCCTTGGCACTGTACTTGAGCGACAGATGGTACTGACTTCTTAAACCTCCCACTGCTCCGCTCCAAAGAATTCAATACAGCCGGGACTTGACCTTCCCACGTGGGTCCCATGCGTGCTTTCTTTCCACTCTGTACTAGGAAAGTGGAGCTCTAGAAAACATAGGGGACATGCTGACAACTGAACCCCGGTGCCGAACCCAGGTCCCTGAGTCCCTTTCTGGGGATAGCTGGGGACAGAGGGGTCAGTTGTCATCTTTCATTAACCCAGCTCTTCTTGGACATCCGGATGTATCCTGGGGTAGCAAAGCAAATGATCAAATAAATGGCCCTAGTCCTGGACTGGGTTGATGTATAACTCGTCCTTCTCAAAGACGGCTGGCCCTTTGAAGGCTGGACTGGGGCTTGGGGCACACTGAAGTCAGAGGGCACAGTGATAAAAGCAGCAGGGCTCCCTGGCAGCCAGAGTCTACTCGGTGTAGATACACCCCACTATACTCGTTCCTGAACAACCATATGAACTCGATTATCCGGGAGGCTTCCTGTGTGTGTGAAAAACCAGGAGGGAAGGAGGCAGTAGCGCTTAGAAGCCCCTGATAACCGAGGGCGAAGAAAACAACTTCTCTCTCTCTCTCTCTCTCTCTCTCTCTCTCTCTCTCTCTCTCTCTCTCTCTCTTCTTTTTTCCCAAGACAGGGTTTCTCTGTGTAGCTGTAGCTGTCTGGGAACTTGCTCTGTAGACCAGGCTGGCCTCACACACAGAGAGACCCACCTGCTTCTGACTCCCAAGTGCTGGGATTTTTGTTGTTATTTTTAGAGACAGTGTTTCTCTGTGTAGCTTTGGAGCCTGTTCTGGAACTAGCTCTTGTAGACCAGGTTGGCTGGCTTTGAACTCACAGAGATCTGTCTGCCTCTGCCTCCCGAGTGCTGGGATTAAAGGCGTATGCCACCAATGCTGGCCGTGCTGGGATTATTAAGGCATGCACTGTCACTCCGGGCCAACAATCCTATTCTTAAAATGAAAAGGCAGAGAGAAAGGTCATAGGGCAAAGTTGCTTGACAGGAATTCTTGGCCCAGGATGGTAAAGCCAGGGCCATCCTGTAGCAAAAGGTAATGAGGTTGCCTGGCTTTTACTTGTAGGTTGGGAGATGGTCCCTGTGGGACATGCTTGGTGGTTGGGCTCCTTGGCCTAAGATCTGATTGCCCTCATTTTTAGGAAACCAGCCCACTGTCCTGGAGACTGCAGAAGCATTCCACCCAGAGAAGAACAAATGGGAGGTCCTCCCTGCCATGCCCACACCCCGCTGTGCCTGCTCCAGCATCGTCTTCAAGAACTGCCTTCTGGCTGTGGGGGGTGTCAGCCAGGGTCTGAGTGATGCGGTAGAGGCGCTCTATGTCTCTGAATCCTAGCTGGCCCAAGCAGTGCCCTTCCCTAGACAGCATCATCCCACTCCGGACATGAGGGATACATCCTCGGTCTCCAACTCTTGTTACGAGCCAGTGGGGCCAGCTCTCAGTGAGCCCCTCTGCCCCCTAACCTACCAACCCCAGAAAGCTCAGCTGACTCCACCCATAAATGAGAGCTGGGCTGTGGTGGGGTGGGGGTGGGGGAGGATAGGATAGGCATCCTCAACCAGTGCTCAGGCACAGCGAGGCATAGAAGTGCTCCGCCCTCTCACCTGCCTCCTGGGGTGGGGGCATAGTTGTCACCCAGGCGGAGGGGGCCTTGTTGCCCTTCCCCATCTCCAAGCTAGTTTGTCATGAGACAAACTCATGAAGCATGAGTCAGGAATTGGACAGATGTGTAGGGAAGGTAGTTGGGGGCTCACACACCAGGCCAGGCCAACAGCCTTGGCAGAAAAGACCCCTCCTCTGAGGTCCTTGTTGGACGTGTGGCGATGGAGTATCAATATCTTCTGCCTTCTGCCACCCTCCCCCATCTGAGGCCCGGCCATTCTGTGCTCAACAGCTCTCAAGAGTGTTTCTGGGAGAAACCCTGTCATTTACACTGTGGCTTCCAAATCCACAAAGGGTGGATTAATTGCACTCTGGTTAATAACAGCAGCACAATGATGACATCTCTATTGCCGTCTTCTTTGGACTCTGGAGACAAGGCGGGGGAGTCCTGGATGGTGGATAGAAAACCCAGGAGACCATTTCCCCCTGTGTCCTTAGGCTAAATAGGGGCCTGTTGGCTACCTGTTCTTGACCATGACCTTGGTAGAGGTTCTACCTTCCCTCTGTCGTAGCTGTCCCCCTCTCCAAGAGGCAGCTGATCATCCGGCCTTTGTCGTGTTATACCCACGGCTAACCTTGTTCAGTCCAGCATCAAAGGATGAAAGAACGGTCCGCTGGCTTGGAAAACAAGTGAGGGGAAAAAGACCAGAGGGGTGGATACCAATGTGTGTCCCTGTAGCCTGCACAGCACATCTCTGTGCTTCCAGGGCCCCAGTCATTCACCCCCAATAGGTCCCAGCTTGGGGAAGAGTACTTACCTGACAATCCCAGCAGAGAAACCAAACCTAACCACTTAGCCCCGAGAACACAAAGACTAAAATCCCTATCAAGGCTATGGAAGAGCCAGTGCTTAGCAGAAGGCTCATAAGGCTCAGGCAGTTACCGCCTAAGGAGTCTGAGCTGTCAGAAGGAGCTCTTTCTGTTGAAGGGGTGGGGTGGCACTTCCAGAAGGATCTTCAAGGACTGGGTGAAACCTGGATCTTTAAGGAATGGTGGGTTGTTGGCTCCTTTCTCAGGATACCCTGATTTCTTTCTTCTTTGGCGTCCAAGAGGACACTGCCACCTGCTGGTCGAACATGTTTCTTCACACCAAAGTTGTGAAGGTTGTGGCCAATGGTTCCCCTGAAGACCAGACCACAAAGAAGCCTCCATTGCTTCTGAATCCAATTCCATTCAGTCTCTCTAACCATTAGGGAAAAAATGGCTGGGGGGCTTCGTGGAGCAAGCTGTTTCACACTTGACTCTATCTCCCTATCCCATTTTCTCGCTGCCCTGCCCACATCATCTCCAACCCAAGATGAGCCAAGCCACAAAAGGAGCTTTCTCCAGGCATAATGGCTCCACATTTGTGGATAGAGCTGAATCCTTTTAAGACTTGGAACCTTGAGGGCCAGCCCTCCTATAAGGTTGAAGTAGACACTGGAATCAGAACAACTCAAGGCTGGAGCTGGTATGTGCTAGGGTCACCCCTGCCCAAGTTCTACTGTGGGATGACTGGGAAACCACACTGGGGAGCGAGAGAAGCCATCAATGGCTGTGGCCATGTTGAAGTGTGTGGTTCCATACTTCTCACATACACTGCAGAAGCAGCACCGTCGATGACCTCCAACTGTGTCTTGCAATTGCATTGATCTTATGGGATTCCCCACTCAACCGCCCACCGACCCCAGCTCCGGCCGGAGGAGAAGTGTGGTCACTTTTCCAACCCCTGCCCCCTTAAAAAAGAAACAGACATCTAGGCACCCTGATGGTACAGCTGATGCATGTTGGGGGTGAACAGCTGACCCTACCCTATGAACACCGCCTCGCCCCCACGCCAGAACGGCAGGGGGCTTCATGCATGAAGCTAGATCCCACGCGATCTATCAGAACAGGCCCAAAGCCTTAGCCGGGGGCTCAGAGGGAATTCCAGTGGTGGCTTCAGTGCGGGAGATGGAACAGTGCAGTGGCCTTGGCACAAGGCAGGACTCAGGCAAGAGCCAAAGAGGTAAACAAAGTAAGTGGCTTTGACAAATGGAGCCAGTGAAAATTGTCATGGGAGGGTTGCTTTCCAGGAGTGCCCTAAAGAAAAGACCACGGACTAGGGGGCAGCTGGAAACAGCTGGAAATTTGGGTCCCACATCTGGAGGTGAAAAATGTGAAATCAGAGTTTAGAGGGGCTGTGCTCTGGCTGATGGCTCGTGGAAGGCATGGTCTAGGTGGGGACGATCCCTACGGCTATTCCTAGCTTCAGCGTCAACCTGGAAGTCCTTTAGCTTGCAGCAGTGGAGTCTCAATTAAACCTGTCTTCACACAGCCACTCCAGCATGACTGTGTCCAAGTTCCCCCGACTTGATGAGGACGCCGGTCATCGGACTGAAGCCCATGCATATCCAATATGACTCCATTTTAAGGCGATTATATCACATCATGGATTCTTTATTACTTATATATTGTGTTAGTATATAATGCATATAATAAACATATAGTTTCCAAGGTTATCGACATATGGTTCTGGGGGAGGGGGAGGACAACACAAATCAGCTCGCCACCCTATCAAGCATGATGAGCAGAGCAGGGAGAGCAGTAATCCCGAGCCCTGAGCCTCCTGCTTCAGTCCCCTGTTAGAGCTGGGCCTCCAGAGAAGAGCCCGAGTGCCAGAGAGTGTGCAGCCGGAAGAGGCCAAGGCAAGGCCAGGTTTGAGCAGACCCTGAGGGGAGCTGAGGCTTAGAGTGGACCACTTGGTGTTCTCTGACCTTGTCCCTCCCCAGCCATAGTGGAAGGAGGCGCGGTCCCTGAGGAAGCAGGGGATGGGGCAGATGGCTGCCAGAGCCAATGCCCTGAGTGTCAATCAGTGTCAAGGCGGGTGGCGTTCTCCTCTGTTTCCCAGGGCCCTTGTCCCCTCCACGGAGCAAAGTGCTCAGACTTCACCTTCGCTAGCCAGGTGGTGTCACTCTTGAGGGTGAGAGAGCACACCACACCTGCAGACCGGGTGCCTTGACTGCCTTACACCAGCTCTGTGCACTGCCCGCAGCACCCCAGGTCCCCAGAACCTACATTCCCTATGCCCTAGACCCTATGTTCCCTATACCCCCATACCCTATACCCTATACCCTATACCCCCATACCCTATACCCCCATACCCTATACCCTAAACCCTATACCCCCATACCCTATACCCTAAACCCTATACCCTAAACCCTATACCCCCATACCCTATACCCTATACCCTATACCCCCATACCCTATACCCCCATACCCCCATACCCTATACCCTATACCCTATACCCTATACCCCCATACCCTATACCCTATACCCTATACCCTATACCCTATACCCTATACCCCCATACCCTATAACCCCATACCCCCATACCCTATACCCTATACCCTATACCCCCATACCCTATACCCCCATACCCTATACCCCCATACCCTATACCCCCATACCCTATACCCTATACCCCCATACCCTATACCCTATACCCTATACCCTATACCCCCATACCCTATACCCCCATACCCTATACCCCCATACCCCCATACCCTATACCCTATACCCTATACCCCCATACCCTATACCCCCATACCCTATACCCCCATACCCTATACCCCCATACCCTATACCCCCATACCCCCATACCCTATACCCTATACCCTATACCCCCATACCCTATACCCCCATACCCTATACCCTAAACCCTATACCCCCATACCCTATACCCTAAACCCTATACCCCCATACCCTAAACCCTAAACCCTAAACCCTATACCCCCATACCCCCCATACCCTATACCCCCATACCCTATACCCCCATACCCTATACCCTATACCCTATACCCTATACCCTATACCCTATACCCTATACCCTATACCCTATACCCCCATACCCTATACCCTATACCCTATACCCTATACCCTATACCCTATACCCTAAACCCTATACCCCTATACCCTATACCCTATACCCCCATACCCTATACCCCCATACCCTATACCCTATACCCCCATACCCTATACCCTATACCCTATACCCCCATACCCTATACCCTATACCCTATACCCCCATACCCTATACCCCCATACCCTATACCCCCATACCCTATACCCCCCATACCCTATACCCCCATACCCTATACCCTATACCCCCATACCCTATACCCTATACCCCCATACCCTATACCCTATACCCTATACCCTATACCCCCATACCCTATACCCTATACCCTATACCCCCATACCCTATACCCCCATACCCTATACCCCCATACCCTATACCCCCATACCCTATACCCCCATACCCTATACCCCCATACCCTATACCCCCATACCCTATACCCCCATACCCTATACCCTATACCCCCATACCCTATACCCTATACCCCCATACCCCATACCCTATACCCTATACCCTATACCCTATACCCCCATACCCCCATACCCTATACCCCATACCCTATACCCCCATACCCTATACCCTATACCCTATACCCTATACCCCCATACCCTATACCCTATACCCTATACCCTATACCCTATACCCCTATACCCTATACCCCCATACCCTATACCCCCATACCCTATACCCCATACCCTATACCCCCATACCCTATACCCTATACCCTATACCCTATACCCCCATACCCTATACCCTATACCCTATACCCTATACCCTATACCCTATACCCTATACCCCCATACCCTATACCCTATACCCTATACCCTATACCCTATACC